TGGACGCCTTCCACATGGCACCATAGACTACCAAACATTCTAGGAAACTGCTCATCGGTTCATGCAGAAAATTCTGTTTTTTTTTTGTTTGTTGTTGCTGCAGCTCTTGCTGCTCTTGCTTGTTTTCGACACAATTAAACCTTGTCTGCTTGGTTATTCTGGTTATTCATTATGCTGTATTCTCTTCTTTGTTTTCTCTTTTCTCATCCACTGCTGCCACTCGAAATAATATGGACATACAATTTTGGACAACAACATCAATGCCACCAACAACTCAACTCAACTCATCTCATCGTGGTACACTCATCACTGGTTGAAACCGAAATGTCTATGTGCGTGNTAAAACCAAATGACCAACCAACCGATTACTTTGAACCCACTAACCTCCATTCAAACTTTTTGGAAACCAACCGACCAACTAACCTCGCCAACCAAACCAACAACCAAACCAACAACAAAAACAACAATTCAACTCAAACTTTCAATGAACCTATTTTTTTATTCGCATTCGTATTTCATATCAATTTATTCGATTTATTTTTTGGTCTAATATCCAATCGCACAGAGATCCGATTAATTTGGCTGTGCTGTCGCTGAAAGAAAATGGTGAATTGATAAAATTGCGCAATAAATGGTGGTATGACAAAACGGAATGCAATCTCAACAAGGACAATCAGGAGACATCACGCAGTGAATTGTCGTTGAGTAATGTTGCTGGTATATTTTATATATTGATCGGTGGCCTCTTAGTGGCCGTCTTTGTGGCCATCATCGAGTTCTGCTTTCGCAGCAAAACATCAACGCAAAAGGCGAATGGCTCCATGTTGAGTTCGGCGTCCGGTGGGGGCTCACATCAGAGGAATTCCCTAACAGATGCCATGCATTCCAAAGCGAAATTGACTATTCAAGCGAGCAGAGAATATGATAACGGACGTGTTGGGGTAAGTTAACAATGTGTTTGATGGTCATTAGAAATGGCACATAAGTATTATTGAATATATACATATACATACATACATAAATAGAACACTAGGGCGCCGACGGAATTATAAAAAAAATTATTATATTTAAAAGAGATTTAAAAGTTGAATCTTAAAAGGTCTGCTTGAAAATGTTTGAACACTTTATCAACAGAATTAAAATAATGCGATTTTTGGATGTACCTTCAATTCGGTCCAGCTCACTTAATACCTTATAATTCTCTGAAATTAATATGGCAAAGCTCTTAAAACATAATAGATTCTGTAGATAGAAAACCCGTACCAAATTTTTTTTAATGGAGAGTGATGCACCCTAATGAACCCATTATTTGATGTGGAGCGTATTTGTGCTGATGTGGCGTAAAATAATCGTTTGCAATTCGCACACGTAATTCTTTTTTACTATGCTGGGGCGAATTCGAGTAGATGAGGGTGTTCCTTCAGGACATTTGATTTAAAATTTTAATTAGGCAGAAAACTAAAAGACTTACGTTCACAGCTGAAAAGTAGGTTTCTGTTTAATAAAATTTAGTTTTATTAGAATATTCCATTGCTAGACATTCATTATTGATGTTAGGGTTATGAGAGGCAAATTGGTCTACTAAATCCGGTTCTGCAGGTTTTTTTTTTATTTCAGTGCTTAACGACTGCTGCTTTTTATACTAGAAATTTCTTCAGCGAAAGTGCTTTTATTACACTGTACAGTACCAAAAATAGCAAGGTTCTATCAATGTATTCTGGTTAGGAATGTTAATCTCGGAATCCTGGCCTTTTTTAGGTCCCGAAAATTCCAGGAATCTTGGATTTGCAATTTGAACTGCCCAGTATTGGCTACATTTCTTTTTTATTTAATAACTAATATTTTGCTATAAATAGCTCACTTTGCATATAAATAGTAAATTTTACACCCAAAAATTATTATATTCGCGAAACATTGGGCCAAATATAGTAAACCAGCGTTTTTGTTTTTCACTCTGACGTCTGTAATTCAAAATTATTTGAAAAATTCAGTGAAATGTGCTTAGAGTAGAAATATGGGTATAAAATTAAATAGGAAATTTTGGAGAATTTAAACAGATTAAATTCTTTGGTGCATAAGTTTTGGAAAGTATTGAAAATGTCCTTTTAAAATTTTATCCTTTTAAATTTCGCAATATTTGTTTTTGGAAAAATTATATGTTAAGGACTTATATAAACTCGATAACATCTTCGAATTTCGTCCTTCTAACTTTATGAGCTCAAAATTTTATTTTTTTTTTTTTTAATTTCTTCAATTCTAAAGAAATTTTCTCTTTCATTTGGTACCCATATTTTTATTCTACATTGCATTAAATTTTTTTAAATAACTTTTGGAATTTATCATATCTTTGAAATTACAAAGCCCTTTAAAATAAATCCTGGCGTCAGAGAGAAAAAATAAAAATGTAATTTTAAATAAACATAAACTCCTTCCCTCCACCTATTTTCTACCACGTAGTCCATGGCCTTGAGCATTGCAAATACCTCAGCCTGGAAGACCAAAGCATACTCCCTAAAAGAGAAGTAAAACATATTCCCATTAACTGCGATCAAGAGACCTCGGATCCTGACCCAGAGTCAGTTTTGGAGACATCAGTGAAGATTCGACAACGTGTAAGTCCGGGCTCAGTACAGGTATTGAACAAGCGCTCAGTCTCGGGGAACTCAACATTAACTTGAAAGGTAATGATGGCGTACTTCCAGTGGCTTTGAAAAGACACAAGTACTCAGATCTCTCACAGGCACATAAGCTAAAATTGCGTTGCAAGTTTTACGATCGGCTTGGGTAAGGTTTAACCACTAAACTAAGACTAGTGTGCCATCAAAGGAAAAGAACTTAAATTGAGTAAAAGATGACTAGGATTTGAGGAAATAAAAAAACATTTTTACAAACTTCATTGGCACACTCGAAATTCATTATAAAATTGTTATATACATGAAGAAGGTAATAACGGGTGATTTTTTTGAGGTTAGGATTTTCATGCATTAG